TTCATTAGCGAGTGAGTTGACTGGACATAGTGTAGATGAAGGTGATTGAACCTGTTGAACGTAGTGAAAATGATGAAAGAAAAACACAAAAAGGAACCAGCATAAACCACTTATCAAGAGAACAGTACCTCTGTGCCATTTGGAGCAGCACCACAAAGTGAACCTGCCTGCAGTGGAACCAAATCCTTTTTCATGATGAACCAGTGTTTTATGTAGACCTCACTGATTGAGGCTAGTGACTGTAGTGCAAATATACAGAATACTATACTAATAAGGGGAAATTCAAGTGCGAGTGTCTGGGTAATTGATGACAGCCTAACTGACGCTGTACAAGTCCAAGGACCTCTATAGCTGCCCCTCCAGTGAGCTAATGTGATAACATTCCAGTTGTATGTGTGACAATGTATGGCCTAATGATTGAAGCACCACAGGGAGAAAGTACCTGGGGACTAAAACAAGTGAAAGGGGCTGCTGTTGTATCATATTATATCTTGCTCAGTTATACAGCCATATCTATTTTCCTCTGTAAATAATATTGATATTTATACGTTGATAGACTGTAAGAATACTGTATATTGAAGAACATTTGTTCAGCTATAACGTTTTTTTTCCTGAATAGCCTCTACTGATATGTATGTACCTGTATATGCACACACTTCATTCTTCACCATAGTTAAACTGTGTCAAAGGTCCCGTGCTACAGTACTGTATGTAGATGGCATGTGCACTAGTTCAAAGGCACAAGAAGGTGACCCAGAACAGATTGACACCAATTGCTTTCCTTTCCCCATCGCAATAGAGCCTGCAAGAGGCAACCAGTACATTTCTTTTCGTCAGAAGGAAATGGAGATCATCATCCACAGAGGCCAAGGGGAGCCCCAGCTGAGCCCACCCTCTCAAATGGTTTATGAACAGCTGTCTTTTATCTGTTGGACAACACAGTGCATTCATACACACCCACTACCCACAGCAACACAGCTTAAGAATCAGAAGATATTTTTCTAACCATTCTGTGCAGCTGATATAAACTATAAAGTGAAATTGCTATACAAAAACTGTAATACAGATGCCACATGGATGCCCACCTAGGCTCCCTGCATCTTGCTGTCATTGCAGTGGAATCATGGTGCCTGGATCTGGACACATTTATAACTCGGATCGATGGGGTTATAAACAGCTAAATAGTTACAAGGGTCAGGAAAGTAACATGGAGGTAATCTTTTCCTACCAAGAATCCTTTAATACAGCATATTTTATTGTTTTCACATTACATTTTGTGAAGTAGCATTGCCGACAAAATTAAAGGAGTGACATTGTGCAACATCTTATTTCTCTTCGATACTCTGAAAGAAAGCTCTGAAACGGCAGCGAGAGAATAATGATGCCTCATTTTCTTTGAAAGCTGAAAATGTCCTCACTGCACAGCTTCTTTTGCAATCAATACAGACTGATTGGTGGCTGCAGAAGGAAATTATTGAATTAATTGTGCTTTTTGATGTTGTTTGTGGTAATAATGTAAAGGCATATTACTGGTGAAGGAAAATTAAGTGAATTAATGTTAACAAAATGGGAATTCAATTAAGAGAATTAATGTTAACAAAATGGGAGTTCAACGTAACACAAGCGGCGTATAATTGAAAAATACTGCTACATTTGTGCAAATATGTTTAGGCCTCAGTTGTAGTTTGCACTACTAGTATAATATAACATAAGTGTAAGCCTTTTCATAAAACTACAAGTTAACATACTGTAGGGTCTAGGTGAATGCAAATTTTGGAAATCTTTTCCTATCTTGGAAATTAAGTCAGCATCCCCTAAAAAGCAGAATTGACACACCAGGAAAAAATATATATTTCTCTGGTAAATGTTATGTAAACAACCTGGATAAGGCTAAATTAACAGCTGATGTTTACATAATATTTACGAGTTAAAAAACATACAGTATGAGCTCGAGAAGAACAAAAAGTCTCTTCAGCTTTTCAAATGAATTGCTCCCATGTTCAATTTTCAAGAGCCTAAGAATAATACAAAGGTTGCAAAGAAGAGAAGACCATTTGGATCATCTTAAAACATTTGGTAGTTTAGTAACTACAGTGAGTGAATCTACATTTATGTCCAGACATTACTTAACAGAGTTTATTAGCCCAGATTGGAACACTTTAGCGTTTACTATCTAGCTAAAAAGTCTGTTTTTTATTCTACATCCTTAATGTTTTTTTATTTTAGTTTCCAGTGCTGACCCCACTGTTTCACTGCTGTGTGTGAAATAGTCTTCTGAGTCAACCCTGTCTATATATCGTATCATTTCAAATCTCAGTTCAATTATAATACTGGAACTCCCCTTCTATCCGTCTTAGAAGTTGAGATTAAAAGTATAGACATCATTAACCCTGTAGAGTTTCAGTGGGGGTACTAGGGGTTAATGGATGATAAAGGTTAAGTAATTAAGTATTCCCAATCAGTTTACCAGTACCAGTTTAAGTAGAAATTATGAAGGTTAAATAATAAATATGTGTTAGAGAATAAATAATAACATTTTTTTCCCACTCATTAGGGAATACCATGGTCACATGGATTTTTTTATTCTCTTTGAAGAATTTAGTGGCGGTGGAGTAAATAGGCAAAAGCTTACAACAAGGCATAATCAAACAAATCTATCACAAAAAACACATCATTACAGGCTACTATGTACAATTGGAGTAAGACAGAGTCTAAAATACTTAAATCAAATTACCACTAATGACTAATACACAGAATACACGTAATACACAGGATTAGACACAAATATTTATCTGGAAAATAAGACTTTATAAAATAATTATCTACCAATGAGTCCCTTGTTGTTTCTCCTATGCTTCTCTGCCCTTTCAGTAATTTAGCCAGACCCCAGCGTAAGGTCAAGATGTGAGTTAGTTTGCTTAATGGGCATAACTCGCCTGTCTGAAGAGAATGTCAACCTAATGGCGGGGATGAGGGTGTCAGACCCTCCCTTGCTGAAGAACAAGTCAGGAAGCTGCTACAAGAGTGATCTTCACTCTTGTAGCAGCTTCCTGACTTAGAAGTTGAGGAAGGGAGGAAGGGATGAAAAACTGAAACGTGTAATTCTAGAAGTTAGGAACATGATATTTATATGTCATTTTGAAACATCTAGGTTTTTATTTATTAATTGATTAACTTAAAAACCTAAAACTAGGACCTGGACATTCAGTGCCAAGAGGAAATGATTGTGTGCTCCAAGACATCCGTCCAGCTCTTAGGAATGGCAATGACTTTGTGTTTATATTAACCCAGTCTTTCTCATTACACAGTCCAGCTCTTCCGAGAAGAACAGTAACCTTTAAACATAGTCATAAAATATTACTAAAACCATATACATTCTTTTTAAAGGCATTCCTAATCAAATATGATGTGCATATGATATTCTACGAAAGTCCTTCTACAGCATTAAAAAAACATATTTAGAAATATGATAAAATATTAATTATTTATATTTAAAAAATATACAGTCCAGAAAGTAGTATCTTGCACTTCATTAAAAATGAAGATTTTCTTATATTCTAGCATTGTAGGTTTATATGTAAATTAATAACTTCTGAGTAAAAACTGCAATGAAAAATCTGTTTTCTAAGACCCACATACCCATGTTTACCAGGAATCTTAATCAATTCCTAATGAGAAGTAAAAAAGGGCAACTTTTCTTAAAATATAATATGAAAGTATTAAAGAATTATACGAATCTGCAAATATGAACTGTTTACCAATAATGCCTAGATTTCCAGCTGTTAATCATTTTATCATAAAAAGAAAATTTGATAGCATGCTTATCAAAAAGTTTTTAAAAAATCAATAAAATATAAAGCAAAAATGAGGAGTCTGTTATGTAATTCAGTAGCAAAAAGTAAAACCATGAATCCTGTCTTGAAGTGTTTTGAGTGTCAGAGATCAAAACTAGTCAGGTTATATGGTGCCACCTCCAGATTAGACATTAGACAAGTTCATTCCAAAACTAAAATAAATGAGTTAATTGATTATTATTAATTTGGTGTGCTTGTTGTCAAACAAAACACATTATTAAAATCATTAATAATTGCTATCAAAAAAGATTTAAAGTTAACACCAAAGTTTCCTAGCTCCTTTGCTATCACAAAGAATATAAATAGGACAAAAAATGAGCAGAGACTCCATTCTCTTAAAATTCTTTGTGATTTCAAAACTTGAACATGATAAAAAAGCTCCCTTTGTGTAACACAAGCTACGCTCCATTTTAACTTTCATATGAGCTGAAATAATGGCTACAACAAGTGAAGGCCATTTGTTCGATTTAGCTCATTTGGGCTTTCAGTAGCTAATTGATCCAAATACAGTATATCCAGCCATTTCCTAAAAGAATTCACGATATTGGCTTCAACAACATGCCTGGCTTGTGTTGCAGATTGACAAACCCTCATGCTGCATAAATAACAATTCAAGTGTTTTGTTTGCTATGTTAAAACATATTATTAATCAAATTTTCTTAATTATTGTTGCAAATAAGTGAACATATTCAGTTTGAATGTCGACTGTTCTAACAGATAGTGGGAACAGCTGGCTTGACTAGATAAGAAAGTGAATGTTTGATTTTTGCAGTACAGTATTTAGAACTGACTTCAGGCTTCAATGGCCTAACTGCTGCTGGCACAACAGCTATTTTACCATATTTGTAACTGCATTTATACCCAGTAGTTTAACTCTCACTTTCCAGTACAGTTTGCTTGTGTCTGAATTCATTTACTTGTGTTCTGGCCAATTTTTCAGCTCATTTTGTAATGGTCCATTTTCACAGATTGGAAACTCCAAATCTACTTCCTGTCCACCCGTGTATTTGGATAGACGGGATTGCCTTCATTAAACAGATTATCTCTAATTTCATTCTTCTTTTTTTAATACATGTGTTTTTGAATGTTTGCTTTCACAAAAACAGGCCATACCATGCAATTTGAATTAAAGAGATTACTACTAACCTGCTCAAGCTCTCAGAGCTTTTGGCCATGAAAGGCTCGTCATTGGAAAGGTCCATGTCTTCTAAACTCTGGGCTTTCTCTAGGGTTCGGAGTCTGACCTGTGGTTCCCCTGCTGGCTGCTCTGGCTGCAATACAGGTGGAGGCATGGGTCTGGTCGTCACTTCACTCTTTGACTTCTTTACCTGCAGGGAAATTAGAAGACACAAAGGTCCTGTAAGGGTTCTAATACAAGGTATATGCTAATAAGCTTTTAACAAATTATTCAGTTTTCTAAATTGAGAAAAATCTTCTATACATAAGATATATGCTTAATCTTGTTTCTTTGAGGTAGATGTTCACACCTCTGGAGGACGCACGGAACATTCACGCCTACTGTTAATGCACATGGGCTTGCTGGTTGTATGTGAGGCCAAGAAACATCTTAATAAATCAGAGATGTACACAGCTGCACTAAAAAGATGAGAGTTGTTGATATCTCATCAGGACTATGACTCATATGTCTTCCTGGAGGACTTCAGGCATGTAATGAAATCAGTGACAGGGGCTGCAGCTCCACACAGAGCTACAGTAACTCTCCTGTCATGTGTTGGGGAGCTTGCTGAGTGTTAAAAGATGAATGGCTCACTGTTTGTCCTTCTCCATTCTCCCTGTGCAAAATAGGAATAACAAACTTGAGCCAAGTTGTCAAGAAACAACGGACGATTCTGAGCTGGGCTAGTATAAACTGAAAAATATGACAAAGAATTTACACATCAGATCATGTCAAAATGTGATCGGAGAAATGAAACTGTAACAAGGAAAAGCAGAATCCAACATATATTTATTGGAAAATATATTTATATCAATGGAAGAGTCCCTGTTTTACTTACCTTTTGAAGTCTAGGTTGTAATTGCAACAAAAGATAGTCTGCAGATTGCATGAAGAAACGTAACTTAATAATCATTTCAGTATTCATCTTCTTCACTGCTTGCAGATCCTTTTAGTAAGAAGATGGGTAAAAGCTGATCCCAGACAACTACAGTAGATAAGTATGCTTTTAAAATGACCTTGTGGTGTATTACCAGGTGATGGCAATAAATAACAAATTCAGCAAATTAGGCTACAAATTTTAACAACATCTAAGAAATGTATTATAGCCCTTGCAAGAACCTTTCTGAAGCATATGTGCTTTAAAGAAAGAAAGCAAAGTTTTCTTAAATTTTAATAATCTGATATAATATCTATTCCCTACTGATTATAAGATAATCAAAAATAAATGCATAGAATGCAGTTTACGCAAACGGCAATATGGTTTATGCAAAATGTGGTCTACAATCCACTGTTCCGTAAGGATATCTGTACAACATTAAGACTTTTCTCTAGAAATGCACCTCTTGTAAAAGGAAAAACACAGGAAACTTTACGACAAAATCACTGGGAATGCATATAGTTGCAGAATCCTCACCACCGGAGATTGATAAATTTCAAACTGAAAATATAAGCTCCCTTTTTAAGGCTAGAATTGTTACACCTTAAACTATGACGTTATCACTGAGCTTCTAGCCATCAACAGAAAAATGTTAACAGAGGCTTAGTATTAAGAAAAATCAGTATCTGATAATGCCGAATCAAAGTCCAAAGCAGGACTGTGCAGCATGAAAAGCTCTTGTCACTTATAAACTGCATGGGCACAGTGTAGAATAGGAAGAACATTTGAGCACAGTGGAGGTTAAAGCAAGGTCACGGTGTTGGTATGAGATACTGAATGCACTGATATATCATGACCTTGTTTGATTAGGCAGAGAACAATCTGAACACTATTTTCTATAATGGCAAAGAAAAGCATGTGTGAAAAGGAGAACACAAATTTACTTTTATAAAATAGTATTAATATGACTTAAAAGAAGTTGTTAATAGTCCATTTTAGTGCCATGAACTGTGGAAAGTGCGCTCTACCCCAGGCAATAATTACATGCCTCAATAGACCCTCCGGTTAAGCAACAACTACGGTCTTTCACTTGCACAAATCCATTGAATGAAGGGAATGGTAATGGTTTTTCAGCTGGGACTCTTCTGCACATTAAACGTTGTCATTGAAAGGACATTCTCATGCCATTAACAACAGCAAGTCTACAATTAATGGCAAATGATGTCAGTTTCTACAAAACACTTCAACACAGGCATGAAATCAGTAAATCAGTAAACAGATTTGGAGCCTGAAGTCTATTAAAACACCATTGTTTCAAGAACATGATGGTTAGAGCTGGAGCATTTCTGCTTTAATAGAGAAATTTAAGCAAAAAACATGTGCATAGACTTAACTCACAGTTAAAAAAGCAAAGGAGCAGCAATTAAATAGCGTTATGAAAATGATAACATACTATAGTATACAGGCTACAGAAATTCATGTTACACCCCTATTCCAAAACAAGAAAAACATACATTTTAAGGTATCAGTAGGTCTTATTAGACAAATTGAAAGCTGAAGCTGCTAGATTTCAATACACTGGATAGTGTTATATTATGCCAACTAATCAAACTTGCACATAACACTTTAAAAATGTTTGTTGCCTTCTGTGAGTCTACAGCTGTTCTTTCCCACACTGATAATGAGACTCGAATGAACAATCTCCAGCTTTTGAATACAAAGGTTATTTCTTTGCTGAAAATAAAATGTGGGGACAATTCAGTTTTGGCGTTTGAAAATACTTGTGAATTTTGAACACATACAGTAGTGACTGTAAAGCTAAAATGAAAATGGAATTATTTTAATTGGAAAATATAAACAGTAACCTTTACACCCCTTTACTATCTTCATTACTTAAGCATATCTTTATTTCAACACACTGATCACCAGTAGACCCCTGTAACCCCTTAGAATACAAACTGTGACACTGTGAGGGGTTTTCAAGGGGCCTTACTTTCCCTAGAGATTTCTCTCTACCTAAGATGGAGGACCAGATGTGCAGCTCTGGACGCCAGTAATCATGGGTGCAGGGATCAGCTGTGCACCTTGCTCCAAGCCCCACAAATGGAGCCCCGAACCAGAAAGAAAGAGAGACGATTGGGAGAAGAAGTCAGAGCACAAGCGACACGAGAGCTCGACATCAGCCTCTGCCCCTGCGCAGGCTGAGACACAGCTGCACCAGCCTCTGGATTGAAGACTTCAGCTATTATAACTATATTCCCAGCCTCCCTGCTGAAGAAAGCTGCCACAACTGTTACTTTGTCACAACACAAACTTTTTTTTTCACTACAGCTATGGAGCCGCAGACCTCCATCTTACGGCTGCTCTGCAAGCCTCCATTCTGCATCAGCCACTCTAATATAGCTTAGGCTGCAGAGTTCCATGATGCAGCCAGCCGGCTAAAAGCCCCAGGCCCCCAGCTGTTTCACTAACCTCCAGGCTGAAGACTGGCTTTAATACAATGCAACAGCAGCATACTTAATAGTGCGGTCTACTGACTCACCTATGCAGTCAGAAGGGATTTAGACTGCAGTCTCAGGGCTAACTGCACATGCCTAAGCTACTCTCTTGGCCGCCTCAGACTGGACGTTGACCACTCCTGTTCCTGAGCTGTATTGTACAAAGCTCCAGACAATAAACAACTATTTAACATTAGGTCTTGTGTAGGGTGGGTCTGTAATTGGGCCCCATGTAGAACCAGTGAGGGTACTGACGGAGAAGACAAACAAGGCATCCTATGCCATAGCGAGTAGTCTCTACAATATCAATAAAAATCTGTTTTAGAATTGTAATAACCACTGCTTATGTTGGGGTTATGCAGTGGTCTGTGGGTGGTGAGATGAACCCCAGAACAGGCAAGGTGGGTAGAGGCAAGGGAAACAGTCAGAGTCAAGGTCCAGCAAAGCAAGCACAAAGAAATATGGGTACTAAGAAAATAGGTAAGTTGATACTTTACAGGCTCTGAGTAAACTCTATTACAGAACACAGGGCCCTGCCAGATCAGACCTTAACTAGCCTGTTTTACCTTAGATGGAAGAGGTCATAATTGCCCACAGGTGAAACAGGCTTCCTGTCTGATTCTGTAACCATTTCAACCGACACTGACTGACAGGTGAGTAAATTCATGGCTGGTTGCTTCAGTAACACTAGTTTACTTCACACCACTCCAGTGGGGGTGAGGATGACAAGAATATTTGAAAGTGCCATGCAACCAATTTTCCTATGTGGGTAAAGTGTGGGGTCCTATCATGGGCCATACACAAAATGGGCAGAAAACCCCAAAGGAGCCCTGGTCAAGGTGAAATCATTATTCACTCACAGAAAAAAATATAAAATGTTTGCAGACCTCTTTTTAATTAATCTACAGGATAGAGTAATTTAAAAAGCAGTGACCAGGACCACTACCACCACAAGGCTCTGCTGAGCCAAGTGGTAGACCCAGAGAAAAGGCAGGTCCTGACGTTCACTACCCTGACCCACACTGGAAGCATCAGGACATTCTAAAAAAAGCTCATCAACTTTTCAAGACTATAATTATTCAGTCATGTGAATAAGGCTCTTTGAATATGAAATTGGAATCGTTAAATGCTTTTTATGTATATTAGCAATCTTCTGTTTTATGTGAAGCTGCTATTTAAATTATAACAATTTTGCTGAGTCACTTGAACAGAACATGTCTAAACAGGAAATTAACGATTCACAAAGTTTCTTGAGAATGTTCTCTCAATTGGCTTTTTGAACAGTGGTATACATACTGTAACAATACAATTTAAAAACAAACCTATTTAATTTGAAAGCTATACTTAAAATAAAACTTTTTCTTTGTGATTTTTGAGCAGGGCTTAAAAGCATGTTTAACATTTAAGTAAAAGTAGTAAAAGTATGTACAGTATTTTGCATGTTTTTTGTAGATTATATTAGTTTGTAAATAGATAACTAGTTTAACTAAAAACAACTTCACAGATAATGTTTCTTTAAGATAGAGACTGAAAGACATAAAGCAAGGCTTACCTCACTTACAAGGATTTTTTTAAAAACAGACTTTACTCACACAAAGTTACATATATGAGAATTTTATTTTCTCTATTATGAGAAAAAGTGTAATTAATTGGTTGAAGGACGCTTTGCAGTAAGTACTGAATATCTTAAAAACATTCAGTGTCAGAGCCAGACGTAGTATGTGATTCCACTTTAAAGAAGAAATTTGGGGGATTTAAATTATTTTCTGTCCTGTAATTTCTTATGCCAAGGTCTAATTGTTCTGTACCACTATAAATATCACTATCTAGAACCACATTGTATCCATAGAGTACAGTATACTGCAGTACTGTATACAGCTTTTATGCTGTATGTTGTTTTTTAGTTAAAACCTGTCAAATCACCACAGTTCAAATTTGTCCTTGGCACTTCACTTTCAGTCAAAGAGAACAGAACATGCAGTTAAAAGCAAAAGAGAACAAAAGCATATATTTAAAATGTGGTACAGAGATTAAAATAACATTCCACTGTTACAGAGCTTTCCAATCAAGGAATGCTCCTTGCATTCAGATCCTCAGTCAGATTTTATAGTACAGTATGTGTTACAGAAGCCTTCTTATTTTAACTCACCTACTGTATGTTGTCTAGGAGATCAGTTCTATCTTAAAGCACCATGTCTCTTGATTCACAGGTGGGCATTAGCTGTTGCTCTCATACAATATCTAAAACATATTCTTCCAGTCTGCTTCACACAACTACAGTATGGCCATTTGAAGACAGTATAGCAAAAGTGAAGGGATGTGTCCTTTTAAATTGTATGCCAAGAGCAGGCTTGTTAAGTGTGCTGAGGAATTGTTATCTACATACATTTACAGATTAGTTATGACCTTTGTCAGCACACAGCTTCAATAAGCTGAAAACACTGATAAGTGAAAGTTTTCCCAGTTTGCCCTTAGTCCTTGTGTTATTTGTGCAAACTAGAAAACAACTGCAGTAAAGCAGATAATATCAAGTGAATTTTTCCATCAATAAGCTACATACATTTCAACTAATTGTTTACCTTGCAATCCACAGTGGCATTTAAAATATCATTCTTTCATTCCTTATTTATTGCCTTTTGTTTAATATGTCCACATGGCTGTCATGCTTTCCCTTTTTAAGGTTATTGGGTTCACTTACAAACCATTAGGAAAGAACAGGAAATGTAAAGAAAATAAAGATAAGTCACAATTGATTAGATGATAAAACATAAAGCGTGGTAAGCAAACAAGGACATAAGCCCTGATGTAACCATCCTTATTCATCATACCTAATTGAATACAGAATTTTCCACACACACATGGAAAATCGGTATCTTTCAGGCGTATTAAACCAAGCAGTCAGTTTTGTCTTACAAACAGCATTTTCCACTGATAATTAAATGATAGACATTAAAATGCTGGTTGCCATGGTGGCGCAGTAGTTAGTTGTGCTTCTCCCAGCATTGGGGCCTTGAGTTCAGTTCTGGACCTGTGGCTCTATTAGTGTGGAGTTTACATTTTCTCTCTGCATTTGCATGGGTTTCCTTCAGGTGCTCCAATTTCCTTCCACGGTTCAAAGACATGTTATTGGGTTAATTGGCTTCTGAAAAAACAGCCCTGGTGTGAGTGTGTGTGTCCCTGCAATGTACTGGCGTCCTGTCCAGGGTGTACCCTGTTTTCTGCCCGGTGCTTTCTGGGATAGGGTCTTTCATGGTCCCCTGCGACCACGAAAAGCATGAAGCAGTTAGAAAATGGATGGATGGATATTGGAATGCATGAAATCAAATGCCTCTGTCTCATCAGAGTGAAATATACTCTGCCACGTACAGTAGTGACCACCAGGGGCTAGATAAAGGTTTCCAACCTCTATTCACTTTTAACCTCAGGTGTGAAACAACAGAGATTTGAATTTCAAAGAAGAACCATAGCAGACATAACAGATTGGGTACCGCACTCCTGGGGTTTCTCTGACAAACAATTCACTTTTAAATTGAAATCAGCAGCGTACTAAACAAATTAATACATACTTTCTTTTTCCTTGTGACAGACGTTGACATTTCAGAGGCTGATTCACTTGGAAGGTTCAGTTGCTGAGGTACATGGCAGTATGTGGCCTGTAAGACAAGAAAACTGTTAACAGCTTTGATATCACAAATATTTGTCATTAGGTTACAAACTCACTCCAGAAGAGAAATGGCCTGAGGTCCTACTAGCACCATTGTTGATGGCAGCGTGATAATAAAGTATTTTTGTCAGTGTGATAAATATTCTAAATATAGAAGTATTTAATTTCAAATTAATAGACAGAAAATTAATTTCAATTCTGGTATATGAATGCTTTCACATATTAAGTACTCCTTGTTTAAAAGTGACGATTATATTCATCTATGTTTTCTTCAGGGCATATTTTATTTTTTATTTTGATGTACTAGGTATGAACATAATATATTGACAATTTCTAATGTATAACTTTTAAAATAAAATAAATATTAATGTTTATTAGCCCTATACAATTTCTTGCATTTGAAATTTGTCTTTTCGCATACCCCAGCTTTCTCCAAGGAGACACAGACACACAGACAGGGAGAGAAGCTTGGGGTCAGAGAGCAGGGTCTGCCATTGTACGGCATTTCAAAGGTACTTTAGGGGATCCAGGTTAATCATTGTAGACCTCTTTTTGTAAAACCTATCTGAATCCATGAATTTGTTTCCAGTACAAATAGCACCATATTAATGACTACTTTGTAATGTTTTGAAACATATTTGCGTATATTGTATGGTGGAATCAAATCTGTGATTACTGCTAGATTTAGTTCCTCCAAAGTCTTTAATATATCAAAACTGATGAAGATGGAAAAACAGTCATTTATGGGTAGAACTGACACATGTTAAATGAGAATTATTTACAAATTACTTCCACCGCACCTACCTTTTTCTTTCTTTGAAGTGGAATTGGAACCTCTACTCCGAGTGTGTTTGACAACGTATCTCTCTCAGGTATGCTAGAACGTGCTTCCTAAAACATCAGAAAGCACAGAGTTGTCAGGTCAGCCTAGTTCGCTTCAGCTTTCATTCACTTTTTTTTGGCTTGTATGTTTAATTTCTATCTGCTGAAATGGAATGTATTGTCCCAACCTAAAGTTTAGCAGCTCTTTAAAGAGCTGTACTGAATCTTTATTATGATGATGTGCAGTAGATTATTTTGAAAACGTATTATTTATTAGGAGTGTAGGTGCCATGCAGGCTTTACTTTTATAGTTTAATCATGCTCTACCCTACATTATCTCCCCTTTTTTAAGTCAATGGGACCTTCAAATGCCATTCCAAGATGTAGGCTATACAACTGCATTTCTTATAATTTCCTACATGTTAATCTAATGATGATACCCTAAGTCATAATCTAAGCATAAAAATACAAAAGCAAAGGATGGTATGATGCAATTTATACCAATTTATTTTTTTATTTTAAAATATAAAAAATAAATAATTGGCATCTCCCAATGCTTTTAAAATTTTCATTAGTAGAGCACAAAGCAAAAAACAATTACCAGGACGTGGTCGGAGAATTAAAAATAGAAGGCACTTTTTGTACAAGGTTTTTCTGCTGATGTTTCTAATAAGGTACTTGGGATCTTTGAAGAAATGAATGAGATCCTCCCATCAATAATACTGTATACTAGCCAGCAGCCAGGTCACCCTGCAGCTCACAACTGGCAACCAACTGAAGCTCAGCAGGTCTGAGCCTGGACAGTACCTGGATGTGAGACCTGGGAAAGCTAAGGTTGCTGCTGGAAGAGGTGTTAGTGGGGCCAGCAGGGAGTGCTACCCTGTAGTCTCTGTGGGTCTTAATGCCTCAGTATAGTGACAAGGGCACAATACTGTAAAAAGTTGCTGTCTATTGGATCCAACATAAAACTGAGGTCCTGTCTCTCTGTGGTCATTAAAATCCCAGGGCGTTTCTTGAGGGGTGTCACCCCAGCATCCTGGCCAAATTTCCCAATGGCCCTTACCAATCATGGCCTCCTAATAATCCCCATCTATGAATTGACTTCATTACTCTGCTGATATCAGCTACTGATAGCTGATGTGTGGTGAGTGTACTGGTGCGCTGTGGCTGCCGTCACATCATCCAGGTGGGACTGCACATTAGTGGTGGTGGAAGGGAGTCCCCATTACCTGTAAAGCGCTTTGAGTGGAGTGTCCAGAAAAGAGCTATGTAAGTGTAAGCAATTATTATTATTATTATTATTATTATTATTATTATTATTATTATTATTATTATTATTATTACTAAGATAATATAATAACATCCCAATGGCCCTGTCTTGTTAGTAAACTTAGTCTCCTATTCTTATGTCTTAACATTAATGTTACAGCTTTAGTTGAGCTGCTGGGTCAAGTGTCTTTTTATTTCTCATGTTTCAGAACATTATTTCTGAAACACTCAGAACATTCAAACTAATAATAGAAAATAGACAGCCACTGTTTCTTCAGTTTGAGTCTCATAAAATCTCAATAATTCTTATTTTTTTCCAAAAAACTTGGACAGGCAGCCAGCACTGAATACATTCCTTACTGTGCAAGCCACCAAAACATCTGGCAGACACACCCATACTAAAGAGTAATTTATCACCCTGAGATAGATGGGTGAGGATAAGTCAATACAGCCAAAAATGGAAAGTAAGGGCAATGCATGTGACTAAGAATAATCTTTACATTTTGTTCAGGCTTAGACAACCTCTTCGTTTTTTTAATTATATTTTTTGTAATATCGTACAGAATTGAGTTTTCCTCTTTCTGTGCATCTTATTGATTTGGAAGCTTGCAACAAGAAATGACCAGTCATACTCTAGATCTTGGGTTTCAAATTAATTTTCATTCTATTAATAATTTTTAATAAACTGTAAATGCTTAACAAAGCATTAACAGAATGTTAGTAACCTGCCCCTGTTATGTTATTAATAACACATTTAATAACAAATTTCAGTTGTTCTCAATAGTCCATTGCATTGTTCTATTGATTGACAATTAACCTATGAGCTGTGCATTAAGTGTACTTTGCAATTCTTAAACTAAAGAGTTACCACATCGCTAGCCATTGTTCATGACAATTTGAAAGAATAAATTCAGGGAATATTTGGTTTTATTTTCTATCTTCTATAACAGGGTCAGTTTGCAATGCTTGTAATTCAAGGGGGCTCTGATAAGTAGCTTGTTAATGGACCAACATTCCTGAAGAATTCAGGCTTCTTAATACTTATGACACCATCTTTGTGTGTGCCCTCATTTCCCAAATAAGGGATGGCTGTTCCTTCACTTGTTGTGTGTCCTGCATCAGCCCAGCAGCATTCAGAGATCATAGAATTTCACTGAATGCAGCATTTCACACTGACAATGATCTGGGCTATCTTGAATATTTTGTACATGATTCATGTATTCCAGGTTCCCACTCTGAGAAGACGTTGACTCATTTCTAACATCTCATTCTGGGTTTTCATTGGAAATGGTCTACATTCAGACGCACTCTTGATTTGTATAGTACAGTTCTGTTGTTTTTTTTACCTGGGCAGGTGACTGGCCCAGCACACAGCCTCCTTCTTTCAGCTGAACGTGGAACTGGCAGGTGATCAGCTATGTGAATCACCAAGTGGAGACAGAGAAGCATAAATATATGCACATATGTTGTTAATACAATATGTGTAGGTTATCTTACATGATAAAACTGCAAAACTGAACATCACACTGATCTGACTGTAACAGAAAGCTTAGTCTGCATGTTTAAAAACAGTACCATGTCAAAAGTGAGATGTGTCACTGAAGAAAACGACATAAAGCAAACTCTCCAGGTGCATCTATGCTCAGAACACTGCTGCTTTACATTATTGCCTACAGACAGAAAAGTGCAGTACTTTAAATGAAAATTGAACTATTGTACTGTATTTTTAAACAACCTGCAGATCAGTGACCGTACAAGATGGGTCCCCTACAATCAGTAACTTTTTTATGACAACTGGCTATTTATTTACTTAATGGCTAATATAAAAGATCAATATAACAACAAAGGATCTGGTTACATCAAAATAAGTGCTGTGGATTGGAAGGTCCACAAGATGTATAGCCCTGCTGTAGACAGTTTTCTGGCCAGCTACTATACATCCTACTGTATGTGATTTAGATATTGTATTTAATGACAATCATGGATTGCTCACTTATTCCTAACTTTTGTAAATTGAGATGTTATGTTAAACGTGCATAACACAGTCATAAAGCCTTATCTGGAATATTGTGTACAATTTTGGTCTCTTTGTTGTAGAAAGGATAATGCTGCTCTGCAATCAATCCAGAGAAAAGCACTAAGAGTCATTTAGGGGCTTAAGGAAATGTCCAACACTGACATACTGGAGGGACTGAACTGTTATCGTTTTGAATAGAGAAGACCACAAAGGTACCTGATACAATATTCAAAATCAACAATAAACAAACTCAACCCAGTGGAATTCTTCAGAATGAACAGTGAAACACGACCCAGAGGACACAAGAGAAAACTACGTGAAAGTGCATTTAAACAGAGAACAGGAGGCACTTGTTTATCTAAAGCTCTCTGAGAATATAGAACAAGCTTCAAAGCACTTCATGCAAGAAATGACTGGATGAGATCATTGGAGCAATTAATTAAAGTCATTATGCTTCATCCCTCATGAAAAATACAAAATATTTTACTTGGTCACTTAAAAACCTACATAGAAAATGACCCCCTGGTGTATTCTGTTTCATAATGTGTCTGAATTGTTTTTCCAGTATTTGTATTCTGAAAAGCAAAATGGAAAATAAATGGAAGTTCTTAACTGAAGTTCAGGAGGGACAGAGGCAGTCTCACCCAGCTGTCCCTAATCACAATCATTACTGACTTTTGCTATATCTATAACTAAAATATACTACTTGACACGTGTTTAATTTTTGGGATTATTCATATACAGTATATACGTGGACCTTGCTCCTCAGAATTTCAAGCCTCACAACTTCTTTCCTACAAGTTCTTCTGCATTTTCTTTTGCTTCTGTTCTAAGGCTCGTCTCTCTCAGCCCCTGCTGCTGCTAAAGCCATCACCCTGGTTCCTGCGTCTTTCAGGCGTCCTACAGTGTCCACTGTCCCTAGCATCAAAAGGTGCCCCAGGCTCCCCCCCTCTGGGCTCCTACTGCTCCTAATGCCCGCTCCTTGGCACTGGGTCTGTCTGGTGTCTTTCTCCTGGCTCAATCAGCAGGCCTCACACAGCTTTTAATGTCTGCCTTCTCCTTTATTTAACGTCTGTATTTCCATGCTCCTTCTTGTGAAATCACCACCCGTTGAGTAAATCAGAACAAATGAAAGGAATTATCCTCTGTTAACTTACAAAATAAAGTGTCCAGAACACAATCGAACAAACCCCACACAAGCAAGACTACCTTCCCCACCATCAGTGCAGGGTTTAAATACCCTAGGTTCATGCCCCAGCTCCCCATGATTGACAAGCAACCTTCATTTAACAAGTAATAGGTTTATTCCATGCTGAAAAAAAGAAGAAAGAGAACACAACGTTTCGGCCGTGGAGCCTTCTTCAGGTGTGAGGGATTCATTTAAGACAAGGGAGGGCCTAGCTCTGTAACCTAACACCAGATGGAGGCACAATAAACAAGGACAGACTGTGGATCCCCATTGGTAAGACAAAACAGGACCACTGAGCAACAAATGACAACCTAAAGAGAGGTCATGGCATGAATAGACTTCTGTCTATTTCTGCATTGGTGGTTTGGGGGTTCACTTGTTTCTTTTGAGGTTTTAAATGTCTGCCTTCTCTTTTTATTGCATTTTCGACACTGTGCCTGTACGTTCCTTCCATCTGTTTCTGCATTGGTGATTTTGGGGGCTCTAGACTCCTCGTCCTACGGCACGGAGGCTTTCTCTTTACCAAACAGATTAAGCCAAAATGTATTATACTTAAATACTTAACAGCCATTCACAAAGCATCTGATTCTTGGATGTCGTTATTCTCCATGATATGGAAGTTCTTTACTGAAGTTTGGTGGGCATAACAATAGACAAGCCAGTCTCTCTCAGCTGTTTTAAATCATAACATTAGCGTTTGCTATATATACAGTATATAACTCTTGCGCACACCTCCTCTTGAATTTTTCATTCTGCCTCCACTCCATCTCTGCCCTTGTATCTCCTCTCTCTAACTGGGGGGAGGGGGGGGTGGTCAAGCCTCCTCCTTCTATGGTCATTTGCAAAGCATCTGATTCTTGGATGCTGTTATTCCTCATGATGTGCAGTTTACAGAGTATCCTTTATTACTTAGCTATGTAAAGCTAGCAATGATAGTGTTTGATTTACTGTAGCTTTGGACAGGCAACAGAGCCATTACCCAGAGTAATATTGAATGTATAGCTACAAATTGATTTAATCTTAAAATCACACGAATAAATATAAATAAATTGGATACAATTAACAGCTGCAGGAATCCAGGCCTCAGGGCAACTGCACCAACCAATATTGCTACAATACACAGATGGCAAAAAATTATTCCGAGATACAAAAAAGGCTTTTTTCATTTACAAGAGATTATTTTGTTTTATTACACATCTCAGAATGTACTTGTTATAAAATACCCTTATCAAAGTATTGGCAGAACATGGAGAGAGGCATTATCAGAAATAAAAAAACAATCATGTTTTGCAATGTCCAATAAAACTGCAGTTTGTAGCACTATGCAATTGAAACTGTAAACACCTAGCAAGACATAGAGCTGACCTTCAGATTTTCCAGAAAAGGAATGACAAGGATATTTCTACTACAACCTTAGACTTCACAGAACAGACAAATTTTCCCATTTCTTGAGATTATTAACATAACATGTGTTGTTCTTGACTCTTGGTCATGGTTATCACTTGTAACAGAAACCCTACAAGCAGATATGCAGTTCTTACAGTTCTAAAAGATTGCTCTGAAAGTTTGGCCTGCATTACTGTAACAGAGATCATGTTTTTAATAGATTTATAGGTCCAGGTGTTTGGGTCATATCCAGAGGGTTGTGAAAATGTAGAAGAGGTGTTTGGAAGCCATCTGCAAACCAGTCAAAATGCTTTATCTCACAGATAGTGCTAACAGATACCATCAGACACTATTTTTGTTATACTTGAAAAAAGAAGATTTGTTAATTATACTAATGTTTTCATGTGTAATAACTCCAAAACTGTTCTGGAATGTCAATCATGTAAAACATAGACCCAAGCATAAAAAGAAACTTGATGCTTTTCATGATTACTTTAATAAAAGGGTTATAAGGTTTCTCATACCAAACTGTATGCACAAGAGACTGCCCTTACACCAGAAAGGCAGGAGCGATTAAAGCAAAGTTTTAAACAGAGTAAGATGACCAGAGACACTTTTCACTAAGCCAGCACATTTTCCTTATTTGTAAAGTGATCCCTGAGGGACCTGTCAGATTCTGCTGGACAGTGATAACCACGCTGGGCTCAGTATCCCTCAGGGCTATGATTACTAAGTGGAATGTGGTGAAGCACATACAGCGATCATTCAGACCATTTCCCATCACCCCATGCTCCTGGGTTCAATATCCCCAGCAACATTTGCTGATTGGGCTGATACATTATGTCAAAAGAAAAAAAAGAGACTTGAGAGACTTGTGAGAATGTTGTGAATTAAGAGTAAATTTAATGCAAATGCTTTAATATAAGATGTTTATATTATATTATATGATATTATGTAGTATGTGTGTCTTATGGAATTTCGAATAAGTCTTATTTCTCAGGGCTTGGAACTTGTTAATACTGTATCTCCACCATAGACTTTAGCTGATAGTTTTCAGCTGACATTAATCTATGCACTTCTCCATCTGTTCCTGTTTCTTCCCCCCCTTATCATTCTAGGAATCATATTGCTATTTCTACTCTGTCCCTTCATGTTTCTTCCTCTACCCCCTGCACTAATTTTCCATCTGCTGTACAGGATGTAGTGCTGCCCTATAACTCTGGCAAATATCATGGATAAGGCACTTCTAGATTGGAAGTCTATTGCCCCTGCCCTTGATACATTCCTGAGTTGTGACAGCTTAAGACCATAAATGCAATACTGAGTGGTAATAGAGCCAATTGTCTTCTTATTCCTAGATAGGCTTTTTTTTAAAACTGACGGCCTCTCCCTGCAGCTTGGATAAAATATGACTCAGAGTTCATAAACAAGGAGTTTATGAAGGAGTTGCTGTCAAGATAAGAGTAAGTGGTAAGTGCACTTTAGAAGGCTTGATAAAAGGATCTACCCAAGCACTGATGTAGCAGGCTGAGCTTTCATCCTCTTAAATTCCGATTCCTTTTCAAACACAAAATTTGGGATATTAGAGCTTTATCTGCTCCGCTGAGGACTTTTTATACCTTGACATCAATTTTTCAACCTCCTCTATCTTTTTTTACTCAAGTGTGGTGTTCCCCAGTGTTTTGCTCTTGAGCTTTTTCTGTTGTACATGCTTCATCTAGACCATATAATTAATCAGCATGGCCTTCTACTCTAGTTTTATGCTCATGACATCCAGCTGATTTTATGAAAATTACACTTGAACATTCTGTTCATAACATCTCAGCTCTCTGCTCAGAGGATAATAAATCCTATATTTGTGCCAATTACCATAGATTATCTTGTTATTAAGGCAGAGTTCCTATTAGATACATCCATCTATCCATTTTCTAATCGCTCAATCCCATTCAGGGTCAGGGGGGAGCTGGAGTCTATCCAGGCAAGCAATGGTAAGAGGCTGAATATACCCTAGACAACACATCAGTCCATTGCAGGGCAGACAAAGACAGACGCACACTCTAACACCAGATATAGTTTTCACAAAAACCCATGTGAACATACAAACTCCACGCATGAATCCAGGGACCAAGCAATGCCGGGAGGAAACGCTAACAACTGCATCACCATGCTGCCCCTACTAGAGCGACACAACTCTCAATATTTTTAATTCCAGTTCTCTCAGATTGGGAAACTGTTGCCTGTTTCCTTTCCATTAAAACTTGGTGTTTTGACAGTCAGGTCACTACACCGAGATCATATAACCACATAAAAAATGTTGCTGTCCATATCCTATCTTTTTTAATGATCTGTTTATCAATTACCTGTTTTATTTGCATATTTTCAAAGTGAAAATTCTATAGCTTCACAAAATTGGAATCACAAGTTATGTAGTAACATAACAAAGGTTCAATTAAAGGCATTCAGCCCATCTGGCTCATTTCGTAGTCAATGGTGGGCAAAGAGGTGTCTCATGTTTTCTGTTTCAGATGCACTTCCACTTCTATTCTCTGCTTTATATCTCAACTTAATTACTTGTTATATGTCCACCTAATAGGGAACTTTCAGTTGCTTAAGGCTTGGCTTTACTACATCAAATCTTATAACACACAGAGAGATGGAGAACCTGCAGACCTGCTCCGCCGACAAACCCAGCAGGTTCATATCCATTTTAACATGCAAGATGCTCCACAGATCCTGATAGGAAATTAATTACATCTTTTACTAACACACTTACAGGTGCTTGGCAAATTGCAGGAGTTCCCATTTTGCAGAAAGGAGGACATTCGTGGACAACTAATGGTGTACCTTGACAATGATGTGTTGTTCACTTAGGGAATCGTTGCCACAGTTGAACTTTGATATAACTCGGACTTGAACCAATTCTTTTAATGTAATGTTTGGTCCAGGCATCTCCAACCCTGGTCCTGGAGAGCCCTGTTCCAGTTAGTCTCATAGGTCACATTTTTTCAAAGACTAGCATCACCTGCAAACTACTGATGCAAAAAGCAAGTATTGTGTTCAATTAAAAGAACTGTGGCTTTTGATTGTTGAAGAGTATGTAAATTTTAATACTAAATATTATCTGTGAACTAGTTTAACAAATCACTTGATCACAGGGCAATTTTCCAAATCTTTGGAATTTGTTGCTCTAATGGTGACCTACAAAGCCACCTGGATTGGAGCTCTCCAGGACCAGGACTAGAGATCCTTGGTCTGTGTTGCAGGGTTTGCTCTGAGCAAATGCCTTTACTGTTAATGTTATATTGGAACCCCAGTTATATTTGTTTATTAAGACAATATTTTTTCCATAAAGATTAACAATTTTAGATAAAGATGAAAAGTTAATGGTATATTCATTTGATTTAACCCTGAAGAGAACTACCAGACCTGTTAAAGTGTCAGAACAAATGCTTACATTATATACCTTCTGAACAGTTCCATATTACAATCTGTTAGTAATGTAATAGAATAATTAACAAAGCAAAGCTGATGTTGGTGTCACTACTCTGCACCTACAGTATATACTGTAGATAAATCTGAGTATATCCGTTTTCCAGCCTTCCTCTTAACCATTACCACCCTTCATTTAAAAATGTCTTATTTAATGTACTCACTCTAACTGTAATCACTTTAGGATGCTCCTCTTTGAGTTCTTCTTGGTGGCCATCAGTCTCAAAAATGGTACTGTAGTTTTCTATTAGTACAGCCATGATTTTGTTGCAAATGTCTTGCTCCTTCATGCCTTCAATACCAGTTGAGACACTGCAAAAATAAAAAGGAGTTTGTGAATTGCCTGCTGATATATATATATGAATCTTTTTAGAGCTCTCATATTAAATGTCTCAAACATACAGTTTTTATCCTCTTTTCTATGGTCCTGTTCATCTTTTCATCTAAAATCTGTGTTTATTCAGTTAAGGAGTGAAAACCAGGGAATAAAACAGCATTCCTCTTCCTCTTTTAATTCGTGGTTCAATTCCAATTTTGAAGGAAAACATTCAGAACTGACATAAAACACTTCCCTAGACACAGTTCTGTCTATGGTCATAGTTAACCAATCAAGCTACAGTACATAGTCGACATTATTGCACAATATAATAAAAAATATTTATTCAAACAAGAAACACGTAGAATCCTGTTCACTTAAATAGGACTCTAAAATGATGAACCTGGGAGAACATGCAAATATCACACAGATAGAACTCTAGGAAATCCTAGGATTCCCGTGCTTACCACAGCTCCTTCATGCTGCCCTCTTAATTAACTTTCCAACTTTAACTTTGTCTCCAACCTTAAGCCTTAACCTAGTTGCATGTCTCAGTTTAACCTTAACACTAGCCCTACCCTGACCCTAACATAATCTCCAGCCCTAGTTCTGACCCTAAACCTATCTTACATCCCTGACCTTAACACCATCATCCACCATCAATCTCAAACCTCGGTGGTAACCCTAATGCTTAATCCAACTCCAGTCCTAACCTCAACAGTACATGTAACTGTGTTATATTAGTAATTATTAAATCTATATTGGAGTTAATATTAACAGAGGTTAGATATGAGTTCTCTCTGTTGTTGATTTTATATTATGTAGTTAATCATTTACATGGCCTTGCTTGGGATTATTCAAGTGACTTTAAATGTTTAAAGATTCAAAATGTCGCTGTGCCCATAAGCAAACAGTATGTTTTATTAAATGAAAACATTAGAGTAAGAGATTGTATGAATTATTTCTCTATTAATTATTCTGGACATTCTTCTATAGAAAATGTGTATCTCTAGTATAATGTTTCTATTTATACTATAGTAAAGTAAAAAGCTCATCTCTTCTATAAAAAACCATCCATTTAATGCAGTACAGGGCCACAGGCGATCCCAGCAAGCAACAGGAACAAGGCAGGGTACAGCCAGGACAGGACATCAGTCCATCGTGGGGCATGCACATACTCGGACACAAACACACACTTACACCAGAAGTCAGTTCATTTCCCAATGAGTCCTTGAACTGTGGTAAGAAACCAGAGCACCCAGAGGAAGCCTACAGAAACACTTAAAGCTCCATGCAGATAGCATCCAAGGAATTGAACCCAGGGCCATCTTGCAGCAGGACAGCAATGCTAACTACGGAGCCACCACGCTGCCCTTGACATGAATAAATCATGAATTTCTTTTTCAGGTGTACTCCGCTAAGTACCAAGATGTGAGAGGTGCACAATAATTACACACTTCTACAGAAACTGACGTACAGCCTGTATGACCCTCATTGAAAAACAAGTTACAAGCTAAGCTCTAGTGTCGTGCTCCAGAGAAGGATTCCAATGAAATGACAGTTGCGACTGAAAGTGGAACTCCAAGCACTAAACTCACCGCAGTCTGAATGCTACTACAGTCACAGTCTATACTAGTAATAGTATGAGCAAATTAAAGTGTATGTCACACCAGTTTTGTTCATCACATTTATCGGGACCAATACAAGTTTGATTTGTTTACATGAGTAAACAAACGAGTGCTCAGCCGTGAAATGTCAGCTATCGATCAGGATAAGCACCAGTTTTGATGTATTTGAGAATCCTGAACTGGTTACGGTTTAAAGTAACAGTACAGCTCTGGGCAAAGAAAAATAGAAAAGCAGTAAAGCCTTGCTTGTTGCCTTATGGTGAGCACTGTGGCTGTCGATTCAAGTGTCAATTTTGAGTTGCTGAGAGAGCCTCGTTGACTTGGAGGTACACTCTCTTTAATTCCATTCTGAGTCTCGGTCCTCAGTTCTATTCAAATGGCATTTGATTTACCATTCCAGTGCTTCTTTGCGTCCCTATCTATAGAGCAGTCAAATGGAATATCCGACTTTTCATTCGGAACCCAACAACCCAGGTCAGGAGAATATGCAATTCTAGCTAGGATAAGATGCCAGACAGCATTTTCTTGCGAACTTGTACATGTGAAAGCAAATACCAGGAGAAGCACAGTTTCACCACTGAAGGCTTGACGTGGGAATTTTTGTTTTTAAAAATGAAAGACTTTTACGTGTCCCTTGGAATTGGGCTTACTTTTCGACTAATGACAAAAAAAAATCAACAAACAAAGTACCTGGCATTGTTTGTTGATATACTGTAAATGTTTTAAATACTTAAAATTTAAAACACTTTGTACACCTACAGTACATACCGCAGGGTACTAAGCAGAAACACTGCCCTGCATTGTACCTGGCATGGAACTCATTCCCTTATAATTCTAGAATTGGAAAAAGGATCAGAAGTGAATTTGAAGTACATTCTTTCCTCTAACTCATTTTGTTTGTAAAATTAAAACTTTTGGCAGATGCTTCCACTAAAGAGGTAGGGTTCACAACAGTCAAGTCCTCAAAATAACTGTTACAATGTATTTGTTATTGCTTAGACATTCCATTGTTCTCTTAAAGAATTCTTAATGCACGTGAAGGGTTTTTTCTACAGTAATAAATGCTATGCTAATTAGCATATGAAAAATCACTCAGGTTTTGTTATTATGGTGTTCAATCTAGACAAGATAGCAAATCATATTCAACTTTTATAAGAGGTCATCCATTTTTTTATTTACATTTCTCTTTGAATGAGTCTTTCTTTTTTATGACTAACACTTTTTTACTACATGATGCTATCACATCCACATGAAAATGTGCAGCAAAATGAGAAACTGAGAATGATTTTTTCAGTTGTGTTGAAATCGATTTTGCAACAAACACAATAAATAACCTGATGAATTTATGGGGAGGCCTTTTTTTCCATTCTGTTTTTGTTTACAAATTAAGAATAGCAATCATTAATGGCACAATAACCATTCTAATCAAAGTCCACTGGTTGTGAAGAGAAATTATATGCTTTATTATTTGCATACATTTTAATTCTTTCAATTAATTTCTTATTCAATAGTACACTTTGTGTTGTAGCATCTGTTTAAAATATTTCCAAAACAAAGTGATTTGTTTCTTTTCAAAAGAATCAGCTTGTGTCAATGCCAACCGATGAAAAAGATAGAGACCCCTCAAGTACCATTTAATTACCTCAACTGAGGCATCAAAGCAGATTTGCTTAGCAACATGTGCACTGTTTGCAATATTTCCAGACTAATTTAATATTAATATGTGATATTGAAGCAAACATTCTGGATGAACCTTGTTTGTCTTTCATTAACCTGATTAGTGGGTAGAAAATTGAAAAAAGGACATATTACTATGCATGGGCCACTTTTGTAATCAAAACACAATTCTATATTCAGTTCATGTCAACAAACACAGGAAGGACAGTGGTAATGTTTTCTGGAACAATCTAGTTAGCATCCAAACAAACCAGTCTAAGGGCACTACTCCCATCACCAGCAGAAACAGTACAATAGTCCAAAGGATGCATTAGGTAGTGTACCATCATCTCCAGTAAAGCCTCTTTCCATTTCTTTTTCTACATCAATACATTCCTTTAACACCACTTTGTGGGCTAGAACTCAGCCACTCAAAAGCATTTGAACTAGAATGGAACGGGGTGGAATCCAAAGAAAACCTTCAAGGAGTAAAGTAAAAAATAGAACCCCAAGGAAAAACAAACCATCCAAGGACCAGGTGGCACAGAACAGGCCCAAGTGCTGCAGGTACTATAAACACTTAAGGCCATCAGATCTCCACATACTGATGGTAGTCTTTCAAGAAAACAAGAGATGCTCTTCATGCTCAACACAGGGCCAGTACTCACTGGAAATTTTTCTAATATAGTGCACACCCATAACAATAGGATATTAAGGTAGTGTTTCTGAATCTTTCAATGCCGCAGGATGCCGCACACTTACATCAATATAAAAAGTGTGTGACACTCTGTTTCCTCCCCACACACATATAAAATATTGCTAGCCCAAACACATTAATATTTCGATTATAAACACAACTTATTTGAATATTTTTCATAGTGCTCTATGTCACAAAGTACACAATATACAGTACTGCAAAGCATTTAGGGTTTTGATAAAGTTCCTAAGAAAAGATTGTCAAATTGCAGCCAGTAGGCATTCAAGGTAATACACTTGTTTTGACTGAAAACTGTTTCATGTATAGAACAGCACAGTACAGATGAATACTTGGGTGAATGCTCCAGCTGAGGTAATGACTGGAGCACCAGCAATCTGCATGCAATAGGAAAGTAGACCCTATTCACACATTTGTAATGTACACAAGTATAGAGTATTACATGTACTGTACTGTAGGTAGCTTGAAGAACTACTGTACTTAAGAAAGACTTTCATGTTAATGTTGCCACATCACTTACATGTTCTAAACAATATAAAAAAATAAAAAGACAAACAGAATGTTAAGATATTATTTAAAATATATAGAGTTGAAATCAAAATCTGTGATGTTAACATTTTGCCATTCACTAGGAAGACTTCATTTAGAATAATGTACGATGTTAGATACCACATAATACTACATTACAAAGATACAGTGCCTTGCGAAAGTATTCGGCCCCCTTGAACTTTTCAACCTTTTGCCACATTTCAGGCTTCAAACATAAAGATATAAATTTTTTATTTTATGT